CTTATTTACCCTGACCAGTTTCATGAAAGTGGCTGGCAATCTTTGGGCTAATAATCCTCACTGGCCTGTGTGAACAATTGCAGCTGTTCTCTGCATTTCATACACAAGAATTGCAACTCACGCTGTGAAATTGCTCCCTCAGCCACGTGCAAAATACAATCTCAGACTTCAGCAAGTATCTGCATAACAGTCCCACAGCTTGATGGGTGGCTGTCCCCTTGAAAGGGTGCTAGCTCTCTCTGCAGTCAGGCATCTTCCAGGTGGGAAATCCACACAATCCTCATGTGGCATTAGTACTGGTAGGTGAAACCACCAACAACTTGTGCTAGTTTTATAAATATAGATAGCTTTTGTTATTCTGTAGACATCGAGGTTCCTGGCTGATCCTGGAAATTTTGTTTATGCATAAAAGCATTGCTTTCAATAACCTTTAAAGTTATCTTAAAAATGTCAGAGTAGAAGTGAGGAAGAAGAGAAGAGGAAAAGAAGGCTACAAATTTCTTCTTTTCCAGGTCTATAGGTGGCTGTGAGCTGGCTGAGGCTGTTGAGAGCTTTTTCACTATAGCTGTTGGAGCTAGAATATGTTACCTTTACAGTCTTTAAAGTCAATAGTGTTACTTTAGTGATAGATGCAGGACTTAAAAAAGCTTTGGGGAAGAACCTGAGAGTAGATTTGGAAATATTTATGATGTGGTTGTTATTGTAACTGTGTTTCAGCCATGGAAGTATCACAAGTCTGACAGAAGGAGTAACCAAGTCTGGAGCATATTGTGTAGACGAGGCATTTAGTGGATTTCCCCTCCTGTGGAAATATTTGGGGGTTTTAGAAAACCTCAAGTGGCTCTTTCACTTTGGAACACAAGTAGGACCTTCAGTTCCCACCACCATCCCCTCCAGGGAAAAAGTGGGTAAATGTGGGGGCAGGAGCAGGGCTGAGAGGGAAGAGGAGGCTGTGGTTCTGCAGTATGCAGAGAGTGGCTTTGGGGCTTCCAGAGCTGAATCAAAACCAGCATGGGCTGACCACGCTGCTGCTGAGCCAGTACATGCTGCCAGTGCAGATTTGTTTAGAAACACTGCTGCACTAACGTTTTGTGCCACTGGACGTCACTCCTGGTCGGGTGCTGTCCTTTTGCCTCAGGAGGCTTTTTGCTGCACCTCCTGCCGCTGTTCCACGTGTCCTTTCTTCAGGGCAGTCTCCTGCTCTGCTCCTTTATCCCTGTGGTCACCATCTGGCTGTCACTTGCCTGCATTAAAGAGCGTGTTTCCAGCCCTCCTCCACTTTCTCTTTATACATTCAGGCCTTCCTTTCCCTGTCTTTTCTTTCTGTTAAGGGGATTCAGAGGCTTGTCCCTGTGGTAAGGAAACTGCTTAGGAAAATGGTTCATTTCCCACAATGTGGGCCTCCTGAGTTTCCTGCAGATTTGCAGGGACACATGGAGTTGAGGGAAGAAGAGACTTCCAGAAGGACAGGTTAGTCCTAACTCTTTGACCCATAGCCTTTCACTATTTAAGGCATATTTCCAGGTGCGTCTTGCTAACGTAACAGCCTAGTGTTGCAAGAATCATAGTCATCGAATCATTTAGGCTAAAAAGCCATGCAAGCTGTGCTGCCCCTTGGTCCTGCACTGCTGTATGTGCACTGATGGCTTTCGTTTGGTTCAGGAGAGAGAATCTAAGAGAGAATCTATTCACCTGCTTAGAAAATGATGAGTGCCCGAAACTGGTCAGCCCAGGACACAGGTGTGTGCCTCAGCCAAGCAAACGCCTTGTGTCCTGCAGGCAGGGAGCAGGCAAGTCGATCGATGAGTTGTCACAGGAACTGAAGTAAATACGTACTTCACCCCACTGTGTGGGAGGCCGATGGCTGTACGATCCCGTGGAGCTGGAGAACAGGCAGTCCGAAGCAGCACGGCTTTGACTTGGAGCAGCACATGAGGTAGGTGGCAGGGATGGCTGTTCTGCTGCTCCTCCTCCAATCCCTCACCCTTCGTACACACACGTGTGCAGATGATGCAACCACTGAAGGTCCCAACAAGCAACTACAAGAGGTTTCCATAAAACAGTCCAGGTGCAGATTCCTTCGTGCCTCTCAGTTCTTGTGATGGCATCGGGGCCTCTGGAAGATGCTGCTGGTGTGATGCAGGTCCATGACTCCCAATATCTTGTTCCTCTTTCAGGCAGATGAAATTCTGCAGTGGAACCATAGGCAGGAATTGAACCGCATCCCAAAGCATTTTAGTCTTGACTTCAAATAGCTAAATGCTCACCCAGCCCATAGCTGTGGCGAATAATGCGGTGGTTTCTGGAGATGGATGAGGTGTGTTTTCCCCCACCCCAAATGAAAAATAGAAATGTAAAGGGAAAGTGAAGGAATTAGTGGTTAAGCAGACTGCAGCGCCATCCTGCAGCAGTGGCAGCGCCTGTCTCGCTTGAGGACACGAGGCGGTGCAAGCTGTCTTGTTTGCATCAGCTTGGTCAAGCTGGACGTGAGGAGCACGTGGCTGCCTTGCAGCTTGCCAAAGTAGCTGGCATTGCTGCTGATACAATATGGCTGTTGGCTTAAGCAACTTCAGGCGTGGCAGAATAAACCCACATCTGCCTCCGTGTGATGCTCTTGCATGGCAGCCAGTGTAAATGCAACGAGAATTGCCCCAGCCTCTAGTGGATGCATTTTCTGGAGATGCCTTGTGCCTGAGGAGGTAAGTGGCTCTGGTTTCCCCAGCCCTGAGCTCGCTGTCAGTAATGTGGGGGATGTGTGTTGGCAGCTTCCAGAGGACTGGGGCAGCCTTTTCTTTGGTATTCAGCCAGATTGTTTGAATGTCACCTTCCTCGTCCTGAAGTTCTGCCTCCACTTGTCATCTTTCCACACTCACAGCATGACGCTTTGCTGTCAGTCTGTGATCAGTCCCAGGTGGTGCATGGCAAGAATGATGTGGTTAAAATCTTTCACCATTTTGTTTGTATACTTTCAATCTCCACTTTCTTTTGTTGTTTTTGTTATTTCCTGCTCTTTTAGTCATTGAAGGTGCTGCCCACTGTGGGCTTCCCCGCATAGCTTCCTGCCCTTGCTACCATGATGTTATTTCTAGCCACAGCACTGTTACAGGCAGCCACCACTATCCTAGCCACACTGTTGCCCAACCTGCATCTGTTGGTCACCTCGGCCTTTTTAGTCAGAGGTAAAAGTCACATTTGAAACACGATTGCATCTGTGTATTTTAACACGCGTAAACAGTGTTTGAAGGGTGATGGAGCACCATGATGCTGCTGTTCTTCAAATCCGCTGTACCAGTACAGCCACTGTGCTTTATGCACAGGGCCGTGTGCTGAAAGCTGCAGGAGCGTAGAGCTGCTGTGCGATGCAGAAGCGAAGGAATTGGCTGCTTAGCTGCTTCCAGCAAAGCAGAGCTTTCTGCAGAGCCATAGCAGGCGCCGCGGAAGTGGTCGCCGCATCCCAACCTTGGGTATTGTTACCTTGCAGCTCTGGATCCAGTGACTTTGATGCCATCCTAGCTTTTGCCACTCAAACTTTGACTTGGAGTCAAATACAACCTTACAGTTGTACTCAAGCATTAAAAAAAATAAAAATGAGTTAAGTATCATTGCTAATGCATTTAAAGTCTTGACCAGTAAAAGCCCTTACTCTGCAAACTTGCTCTGTGTAGCATCAGGTAAAGCACAGTTCAAAATGTCCTTGGCTGCCAGCGTGATGGTAGTGCTGCCATTCATGGAACTGAAAAAATGGAGGTGGCAACAAGAAGTCAGCAACGAAAATAAGGAGTATATCTGTTCAGCAAGGAATAACTTGAATTTCTGATGTATGCAAATGATCCAAAATGCCATCTTCCCACCCACTCCCTTTTCTGCCCATCTTTCTTACTTTTTCTTTATGGTATGTCCAAGCTTTCTAATTGTATACCATCCTCAGAAGCTGCAGTTATTAAAACTGTATTTTACTGTCATTTAAACATTTTCCACATCACTTAGTGAGGTACACCGAAGGGTAGAATAATGAGTGCTTACTTTCTTGCGTGCTAACAGATGATTTTTCAAGATAATTTAACTTTGCCTGAAGTATAATCTTTACAACAATGGATACCTGATCGTATATTCACTTCTCAGTACCCCTGGAGACAAATTTCATGCTGACCATTCAAATGAATATTATCATGCAAGTACTAACAAGACTGACTGGGACTAACTGAGTTCTGAGTAGGCGTGAGAACCATGATGATTCTGATAAATTCCCACGTTACAAACCAACCTGTTTGATCTGATTCAGTACTTACTTTTAATGGGAGCAAGGTGATCTAAGAGGAATTTTTTTCTTAATACAGTTTTGCCTCATGGAAGCTATAGAAAAAACATTTGTAGTAATGGCAGTTTATTATTAGGTCTTTGAATCTGGAGTTGTGCTAAGTGAGGGAAGCCAAGGCTAATAACCAGGAGCATTACTTAGCCTTCGTTTCATAGAGGGGGTTCTCAAAGCTCAGGGGATTTTCCAGAGCTATGTGATATGTTTGCAGATTCCTGTGATAGACCGTTACTCTTGTCATTTTCCTTATCTGTATAGAGTCGTACATACCTATGTGACAGATAGTTTACATGCTGAGAGGATTATAAAATATTTTCAGTCTCATTTGCCTCTAGTACCTTCAGGCCATGTATCTAGTTCCAATCTGGATACAGACAATTAAGTCCCCAGGCAAACCAAACTAGGATTTTATTTTAAAATACACTTTTAAAACTCATAATTGTTCATATAGTGTCTTTTATGCTCCCTTGCTCCTGATTTTCTTTAATTTAGCTTCATGCTTGATGGAACCTTAAAACTGTAAAACAGGAAAAGGCTTTGGAAGCAATAGAGTAACTTCCTTATATTTTGTGGTTCCCTAAAAATGGCATAAATAAAAATGTAATCTCCTTATCTTGAAACTATTGTATGATTTCACTCTGATTTATGTTTTTTTTTTTCTTTTTTTTTTCTTCTTCTATTTCAGGCCAAACAAACAAAATAGCCAAGGAGGCAGCCAACAGATGGACTGGTGTGTATGCATTTATCTTGCCTAGCTTCACACTAGAGCAATTTGAGTAAAAGACCTACCTCATGTTAAGAATTTTAAATTTTATTAGGCTTGATGCAGGATAGTGCTCGCTTCTAAAAAGCATACAGAAATATATTTGGGTATAAATCATGGTTCAAAAAATAATAAATTTTATCAGTTTAATTACTGGATGTACTTAATGTCACTTTAATAAATCTGTTCTTCTGGTGCTGTCTTCCACGCTATGTTAAAGCCTACAGCTCATTTTTTTGGTTAAGTTAAAATCTCTTAAGTTCAGAAAACTTTAATAGAAAGAGACCAGAAATGGCAGTGTTTAGTTTGGCACTGTCATAATTCCAGGTATCGAAGAAGTTTAATTCTTCTTTTCTGACTTTTCATCTGTTTCTGGAGAGTAGAATGCTTTGTGGAACATTATTGCTGCTACCATATGATGGATGCTAATATAAAGCAGGGATTTCTTAACCTAATTCATCAGCTTTGACGTGCAGGAGAAATGCTGCATAGTTTTATAGAAATTTACTGCGGTAACATTTGTATGGAAGTTTAACTCAATTTTCTGCTGTTGCTTAGCTTAGCTATGTTTCTTCATATTTCCATTTTGCAGAGCAAGCAATATGTACATCCGTTCTTTTTTCTTTAATTATTTGGAATATACTTTGTAATTTTTTGTTTAGAATTTATCTACTACTGCTGGACTGCTCGCTATTATCTGTTATGCCAAGTGCAGCTGCCTATAGTAGTCATAGGCTTCTGGCTATTACTATTCTCTATCTTCATTTTCATTTGTTTTTTTACTGTTTATGAAGAGACAAAGTTATGTATTTTGAAAATAACTTTGGGGGTGCAGTTGTCACGGCTTTCTATTGTTGATGACAGGCTGTTGTTATCAAGATGTTTAGAGAAGTGAGGCTCTTGTTTTCTGTTCCAAATCTACTTAATAGTGATGTTCTTGACCATGTACCTTTCTCTAGAGCTGGTGCAAATGGATTTGGTGTATGCAAGACCACAAGTCACGCTTCCTTAAACATTCAAAACTGTATGTTTTCCATCCTGTTTACAGATAACATCTTTGCAATAAAGTCCTGGGCCAAGCGTAAATTCGGATTTGAAGAGAGCAGAATTGATAAAAGTTTTGGAATTCCAGAAGATTTTGATTACATTGACTAGTTGCTCGGCAGTCGATTGCTGACATAATTGTACATAGTTTGTTAAATATCGCTCAGCTGGCATTTAAATGTGTGCTTGAATCCTCGACAAAATGACTGATCACCCTTTAATTTGTATTTTGTTAAAGTTAATAAAATACTAAAAATGTCTGTTGCATTTCATTTTTTTTGCTCCTGTTCTCTGGACAATAAATCACTTGGTTACTCATGTGAGACAGACTAAGAATGGAGAGAGGTTATTGAGGATAATTATCACAAAGTCCTGAGACTATTTTTTTTTTTGCTTAACTGAGAGCTCTAAGTACTAAGAGCTAGAAGACTGAGAGATTTATGTTTAAACAGGATGAAATGGAATGGAAAACACTGGGCAATGCGGAATAGAGTGAATATTTCCTCATCTAGAAAATGAAATACAAAAGAGGCATAACCCATTAATGGCAAGCACCGAGACAGTAGCAGTGTGAATTGAAAGGATGAGGTTTGATTTCAAGTTGTTCTTTATTGCGTTGCTAGAGCTGCTTGGAAGTTTTATGACAAACTTTTGTTTGTTGTTGGAAAAGACTATCTCATTGGAGTTAAGTCTTCTCCAGTAAATGTACTGGATTAGACAACAGTCATGCTGAGAAAGCTTCTCTGGTCAAGATCTTTACTGAGTAGGAGAGGAAGGTAAGAGAATCTGTGCATCCATTCACACCAGAGCGCCATGAGATTTTGGATGTTAAACTGGGATATAAGAGACCAATTCAATTTGCTGTTCAAAACTGAGCACAGTAGGGTTATTTGGTTTACAGGCTTTTTTCAATTTTAAACTAAAAAAGCAGCCCACCAAAATAATATCAAGTTTCAGATTGTCTTGTTTTTGTTTGGTGAACTTTCACAAGTACTTCAGTTCATAATCTGCTTCTGGTTTCTAGCTCTCATCAGTGCGGGGCTACAAAAAGAAGGTTTGAGAGTACAGACTGGGCTTGTACCTCCCGAAGCTATGGATTGTGAGACCACATTTCTGCTGCACAACTCTGGAGGATATAAGCTATATCTGTCAGAAGGCAGGTATGCCTGCTGCAAGGTAGATGCATATATCACTAGAAAGGGTCTGCCTTTTATGTAACCACTGATGAGAGCATTGCTGAAAAGGTGACATGTAGCGAGAGAGATGCTCAGAAGCTTGTCTCTTGTGATTTTTCCAGTTACAGAGCTTCCATTTCAGTGTATGTTTAGATCCAAGGATTTCAGGTGTGCCCCTGGCTATTGTCATCTCACTTCTCTGAAGTTATTGGGAAGATACCAAGTGGAAAATTTTTCTCATATAGAGGTAGCATGGTAAGGTATCTGTTGCCTAAGGAAAATGTGTGTGATGCCTGGCACGTAGTAAAATGTCACTGTGCTTAGAGCACTGTTGCAATGGAGACATTTCCTTCTCCGCATGTGGAAGGATTTTATTACTAATGTATCAGTGTGTGCACACCTGCCTTTGAGAGCATGGATCTGCCACACACAAGGTGGTGATTACCCAAAAAGCTTACTGGTGTTAAGGAATGTGGAGTACATGAACTCTTTGATGGTGCTTACCTTATAGAATTGCTCCAACGTGGATGAGCTTCTGTTCACCAAGGAGTCTCAAGTAACTTATGGTCCGGAGCTGTTGGTGCACGAAGACTTCCTATTGTACCTGGAACAGCTGGCTTACATTGCAGAAAAAAGGGTTTCTTAAGGAGTTCTACTATTTTGGCTGCTTTCCAAATTCAAGAAGGAAATGAAGATGACCAGCTATGTAAGTTTAGCTGCAATATTGTGGCTTCCTGTCTGTAGGGTGAAAGCGCTGTGGACTGCAATAAAGAATATAAATATAATAAATAAATAAACAAATAATAATAAATAAACAAATATAATGGATAAATAAATGTGATTGGCTGCAGCATCTCTAAGCAAGTCTACCTCAGCCAGCATGAACAATACTTCTAAAACATCAAATGCAGCTCTCATGCTTTGGACGCAAAACTTTAGTAGAAGCACAAAGAATTTTTAGAAATATATTTTTGTAGAATTTTAGTTTCATTTTGCAGGTACGGAACAGAACACAGAAGTGCAGTCATTCTCCTGTCTTCGACATGCTTACTAACCAGCATCAGAAGTAGGTGAGAATGTATCTTGTCCTGTAAGAATACCATTTTGGAACAACTAAGACAGAAATTTCTCAGCTAAAAAGAGGCAGTGAAGAAGAGTTACGTTATCAGAAAATGATGCTTATTCCTGTAGTGGAAATGACTTACTTTATGTTACCTTTCTCATGATTCTACGTTTTTCATGCAGGTGACTTTCAGTGGGAAAAGCAAATGAAGTTCCCTTCTGAGACAAATAGATAATTTTTATGATTTGAATATTCCAAGACACATTGCTGCATCACGTTTAGAAGCTTTTCTTCATCAAATGATAAGGCTTCTAAACCCCATAGTATGGAACCATGTGTGATTACATTATGTGGAGATACGTGTGTTCACTTGGAGTTTTTTGAGAAGCAGAGAATTGTTTTCTGATGAGTTAAAAGTTACCAACAGTTAAAATGATAATCCTTCTGAGATGCTTTTTGCTATTAGCCTATTATAAAAAATGTAAACAATCAATCTAATCTTGTGCCCTGGTTTGTTTCTTCAGAGTTTTCCTTGCATAGAATCTGGGATATTTCTAAAGAGTCTAACATGAAAGTGGTGGTTTTAAAATGCTCAATTCTGCTGTCACTCTTGTGGTTATGTCACTGCTATATTATGTATATGTCTTCCTCTTTTTTTTTTTTCCTGCCTTGTAGGTTTTTTGCCCATGTAAGGTAGATATTTTCAACTGTTACAGCTAAGTCAGAAGGTCAGGCCCTTACTAAAATTCAGGCTTATAACTGAAACAGCTACTAATGCAAAGTGTGCAGATCAAAGGCAGCTGTTTCTAGCAGTCCCCAGCTCTTACAGGAGGACTATCAGGTTCAGCTTTTTCAAAGTATTATCGTGATAAGTTTATTGATACAGTAATAGGCTGAAGTGATGGGTAAACCTACTGTTTGGGACTGGTGTTGATTAGTCACAGTGAGGCAAACCTAGACCCAGGATAAAGTATTTGTTTGCATCCACTCTACCTGCAAATCTCATCTGTATAAAGAAAGCTTGCTGATTTATACCTGCCCTGATAAAAACCTGTTCTTCTTCAGCTTTCTTTCACCTAGCCACGTGCATGCTCTGTACACCACCACGCATGAACCCTAGAGCTTCTCTTGTGGTGCTTGCTTCCACAGCGTGAAAATGTCAGCAGTCAAAAGGGTCTGTGCTCTGACGTAATTCAGCTGCTAAATCTTTCATTAATGCGCCCTCTGAAATGTCATTACTTTCGCTTTCTTAAGCTTGGAGTGCAGTAACCTATGTGTTTTAGACAGGAAAATCCAGGCTGTGAGGCAAATGGCATGGTGATGCTGTGACTAAGCAGCAAAGCTGGAAGTGAAACTTTCCCAAAGAGCAATGGGAAAAGAAACACGACCTGTCATGGTGACTGAGGTGCTGGATGCAAGAGCTCCTTCAAGCAGAGCCCTCCTGTCACCCGAAATGTTCCCAGCAGCTGGATGATCTGGCTGGTACTTGTCTTTACCTTGTTTCTTGCAGAGCTGAGGTCTGTATGATTACATCTGTCATTTCTCTTTCTTTTCCCTACAGCGTTCTTAAACTTTGCACTGGATTTCGGCCAAATACAGCTGGAGGGGCTGCAGTGCGAGCTCGCAGTTTATCTGTTCTGCTTGGCTGGCCGCCTGATAAATAGAGGCTTTCCCTTTCCCACCCGCTAGTTCACCCTTGTGAAGGGACAGAGCATGCCAGAGGTGGGAGGAAGAAGGAAAAATGTCGGTGATAGCTGTGTAAGACCTAGAAGCTTTTGGTGCCAGGTGGTGACAGAGTTCATGGTGAGAGTCTGGCAGTGCTGCCAGGGATGAGGTTGGACATGGTACGTGCATCATTTTGGGGGAAGGAATGGGGATCTAGGAAACCGGTCTCTTGGCAGCCAGACTTTGTTACTTCTGCTGCTCATGGAGCTGTGGTTACTGGGCTGGGCTTCTGTGGCGCTGTAAGTTTGCTGGAGGTTTTACTGAGATAGCGATGGGATGTCTTGCCTGCTCTAGAAAATCGGTGTGCCCCAGAAGTGTGCATGTCTGGTGGCCTGAAGAGCCAGGTCCTAGGCTAACGCTCAGTGTCATGCAGGTGCTAATAAGATACAACATTTGTGTAAGCATTCATCTGATCCACGGATGTACCTTTGCAGCAGCAGCAGCCTTACTCTTCAGTGTCCTTTTTCCATGTTCCTTTTGCTTTTACTCTTCCATTCCTCCACTGTCATTTCCCTTTCAAATGTGCTCACAGAAACGACGTAGGCTGGACGAGCAAGGTGCTGCAGTCTGCACACACAGATGGCTCTCTTACTCCTCTCACTAACATGCACGTCAGCACACACACCTTCCCCTGCACAGCCACACAGGAAAGCAGGCACCTGCAAGATAGACTTGCCTCTTCAAGCTGTATTTGCAGAAAGCTGTGTCTCAAGAAGAGTAGAGGGCAGAAACATCTGTGAACACCACCACAAGAACTTCTGACCCTTTCAGGGTCACTTCAGAAGCATTACAGTGCCTCAGAAATACCAAAACAATCTTCACCCTGTGGATAGTTCAGCTATCAGTTGTTACTTCTTCACCCTACCTAGTCAATAACATTTTCCTTTTGGAAAAAAAAAATCATTCCCAGTCAAATGTTTACAACCAACAGCTTTCAAACAAAACTTGCTGGGCAATTTCCTGTCTCATTTTTTTTTTTTCTTCTGAAAACCCAAGTAATTCTGAGAAAAGAAGAACCTTTCCACCTGAGAGACTTCATTTAAAGAAAAATCCAGCCTTCAGTTTCTAAAAATCTTACTGGTATATTAGCAACCAGCTCTAAAGCAAGTCCTCCAGTCTGAGGGGCACCTTTGTCAGGTCAGAAGGTGAAAGCAGACTGTGTTGGTGAGGAAGTGCAAAAGGGATGCTGTTAAAAACGGTGGCCCCTAAAGAAAGCCAGCAGAGGAAGGAGGTGTGTTAGAAATGAGAACGGGCTGAGCTACCACCTGCACGTCGAGTCAGGGTCCTGCAGGGATTC